AAAACCACAACAATGCCTTCCACACACAATGTAAATTGTGAGAAGGAAGGATGAATTAATATATGGAATAGATTAATCCTAACTTCACCAGGTCTACAAATTAAACCCTGAATGGTGGTGATGAAATTTAAGAACACGCAACAAAGTGATGATGCCATTCCTTTCTGGTGGAATAGATAACTTCAAATATATATGAGATGAAAATGATGTTTGCTGTCCTCCTTTTCTGTCGTTAGCCAATTTTGGTCCCAATATTGTTCTTTCCCTTCCGTCTTTTGGGTTTGCTTTGGAAAGGAAGGAGGTTTGGTGCATAAAGCACGCGGCATGTTGACATAGTTTGAGTTAAAAGCTAACCAACAATGATTGAAGTTTTCAGGCATCATATGACATCTTGATACCAACGGATATCTAATGCGGTTCCAGACCCAAAATCCCGAATCTTAGGAGTCCATTTCTCTGGCTTGCTCTTGAATCTTGAGAGACAATGATTTTTCAGATTCAGTCTCATTATTTTTATTTTTTTAATTTCACGAACCCTGCTGAGCTAGTCTAGATTGAGCATAAAGATCCACAACATGAACATAAAATACTGATGACTACATAAATATTCAACAAGGAATCATGATACTAAGATTTTCAATCAATGCTCAATGCTCCATCCAAACTAATCTATCAAAACAATTGAGTTTTTTTATTTTACTAATTTGCCTTCACCTGTGATCCTATGCATAACTTCGGAATGGAAGTTTATTTGGATATGGATTCCTGTAGACTCTATCATCAAACTCTCTGTTTCGTGGTTTTGTCTTCTATGGATCTCTTTGCCTTAAAGGCACAGCCATATAAAAGACAGAAGTAATATCACGGTAAGAATTGCTGAAAAGTGCAGATAAGATAACTTTAATGATTCCTACCTTTCTGATAGGATACCAACACACTTCTACATGTTCTGATAGTATAACCTGCCACTTGTGGCTGTGTGCCTTCTTTAGTGTAGAAAAGCACCTTACCTAATTTTAAATGAGTTTCTTTGTGAACCTAAATAACCCAAAATTTGATTTAGAGCATGCAGATTAAGACCATCATCCACACTATAAAATAGTAAATTGTTACCTAAAACCCCACGTGGTTTAACCTGCGCTCTATATCTCTTGGATGGAAACATGACTCTCTAAGCTTTTGTGGGGAGAAAAAGAGGAACACACTCAGCGGAAAATTCACTTGCAGACAAAAACTGAAGAAATAATTTAGTCGTTGATATGGGGTGTAGCTGTGCACAGTGAAGCACGTAAGCAACATGCAGGTCCTAGGATGTCACCAGCAATTGTGCAAGTAAAATCTACCGATTAAGAAGTTTAGAGCGGACAGCAAACCAAAATACGAGAACCATCGAACATTCATAAACAACTATCAATGCTGAAATTATAATCGAAGAGAGTTTATTCACATGAAAAATATAAAACGCCAAATACATTCACCATCATTTTCAACAATGGAACTATCAATTCTTACTCTTTCTTTAATCTATACTACTAATCTCCGAGGATCATCCTGTCCTCTTCTGATATCTCAATCCCTCTCCTCCAACCACAATGTCCCAACTATTTCCTCAACAAAATCCCATAGAAGTCACCAATGTTCAGAAGTCAAACTTGTAAGTATGGATTACCAAGATATAGCTGAGATTAGGATAAGGGCAAGGAGCTTCCTCTACGAAGAATACAATAACAGAAGGGTGTTCTTGAAGAGCTATCATTGTGGAGCAGAAGACGAGACAGCCATTGAAAAGATGGTCAGCACCAATAACAAGAGGTTAATCCTAACAGTATTTCACTGGAGTGCAGTCAAGGGTAGGTTCTGTTATAGAGGAGAGCATGAGCTCCAGAATTTATATCATGGCTTGTATCCACGTCAGCTTCAATGCCCCTGTGGCCCTAATTCAGCTGTAATTCCACCTTTTCTGCCTCCACTTGGCATTTGTCAGACAGGCACCCAGTGGTGGAAGTTCGGTGCTTTATTCTGATACTAGGACTAGTTATCATGCAAAAACTTGACTCGTGACCCATAAAATCATCTTGCTAAATTATCACAATTGCAAGACATGAAAAACATTCTACAGGCTAAATGTCAGACAGTTAAGCATGAGTCAGTGCAGCAGAAATCATGATTTTTAGCATCCCAAAGCAGACACTAATTTCTAGGGCAAGTTATGCATGAGTTCCAAGTCATGCATCTTCTAGCATGTTACTAGTAGCTGTCACTACAGAATATCCATGCTAATATAAAGAGAAAGGGCAGAGAGTATGGTTTGCAACCCAGCTACTCTGAACCCACCCACTCCATTTTTATTTTTATTTTTTCATTACAGAGCTTAAAAATCTTCCCTAACCCCTAATTCAATGAAGACGGCAACAGCACCAAGCATGGTATGGGAAACACAAAATCCACTGGTACACAAGAAATGAAATCAAGCCTAAACTATGAAAAGAATTAACTTTTAAAACACACACATATTCTCTTATTAGAGCCTTAATATGCATGGCAATGCACAAACATGATGCAACGCTGCCAAAGAAGCACTCATTCAAGTTCACATGGAAGCAACATGCAACCAAATTGAATCCAACACAAGCAACACAAACAACTCAATGACACAAACAATCAAAAACAGAGAAAGAGTAAATGAGATAATCAAAAGGCAAGACCTTTTGCTTCCATGCTATCTCATAAAATCAAAAAATAATTTAATACCATACATTATATTGATGCTACTATCTATATATATTTCATTCATAATTCATGGATGGATATAAAAACAGCAAATAGAATGCATTCATCACGTTATAAAAAAATTCATCACCTACTAACAGAACAATAAATTGGAAATTAGGAGGAAAAAAAATCACTTGTACTCAAAAGTTGGCACAGGTGGTGCATCAAAACTCTCCAAAACCTCCGTCTTACTACTAGCCGCCGTCGATTCCTTCTTCTTCTTCTCTCCACCGAACCACCCACCGAACCACGAACCCGACTCACCCTCTTGGGCCTGGCCCATGGGGAACCCTCCTGGCCCACCGCCAGCCATAGCAGGGATAGGATCTTCATCAATCATGATAGGCATGCTCTGTTGATCACCCATAACCTTGTTAAGCATAATCCCAGCTCCTTCTATCAGACCCAAAAGAACGCCACCAAATACAGCTGACCGAGCGGAGGGGCCAAGCCCTTGCCGCATGGAGAGAAAGCCTCCCGTGGCGGCGCCGGCGATGATTGAGTTCCAAGGATCCTCCTTCTGGCGGAGGTAAACCATCGAACAGTCAAAGGCGGAGAAAAGGCCTCCCCACACGGCGAAACTGCCTCCGACACGCGGCGCATTCATTCGAACGGCTTGTGTACCTCCCATAAGACGTGCGCCGCTGGGAGAATTGTGGACGCCTTTTAGGAAGTGGAAAGCCGAGCCACCAACAGCTCCCATTCCAAAAGCGCCGCCGATGTCATCCAGAATCCGGTCTGGACATGGCTCTCTAGAAGTCTCAGGCGTCCCCATCGATCGAATGCCCACCGATTTAGGGGTTCTTTTATCAATAAATTAATTCCGGTTCGTGAAAGAGGTAGCTAGCTTGCAAGGCCTCCTTTCTTTCGGCCTTTCCAAGCCCCTTAGGGTTCATTTTGACCTCCGCCCCACGCTTTAGTTTTGGACTTTGGTGTCAAACTAAACAATAGATCCAGCTGTAGATCTATAATCTATTCTATTTTATTACTATTATTATTATGTTAATTAATTAAAGGATTGGTGTGGATTATTAATATTTATTATATTATGACTCATGGATATTTCAAAATCTTTTTTTTTTTTAAAAAAGTATTTTTCATCAAATTGGATATGGAGCCGATCCTTAAACCCAAATTAGTTTGAAGATCTTATAAGAAAAACACCCTATTAATACATATGGTTAAAATAAACACGAGGGGCAGGTAAAATTAATTTAGTTTTTGCGTGCACCGTTGAAGGGTGTGTTCTAGAAAGTTCAGTTGAAGAGCATCTATGTATTAGAACTTAGCTAAAAGTAATTTATTCATCGTCTATGTAAAGGTAGTGTAACTCCAAACAAAGTAAAAATGTAATAAATTTTGTAAATATTTATAAATTTAAACAGAAACATGAGCCCGTGAGTTGCTGTATTTTATTATAGATATTGTATTTGAAATAATAAATAAAAACATGTTCTTATCCCGAGTGTTTGATACTCGAATTTAATTTTAAAATTATAATAATTTTTATTTTTATTTTTATTTTTACACTAATTTGAATCAATTTATTTATAAATTTAAACAGAAACATGAGCCCGTGAGTTGCTGTATTTTATTATAGATATTGTATTTGAAATAATAAATAAAAACATGTTCTTATCCTGAGTGTTTGATACTCGAATTTAATTTTAAAATTATAATAATTTTTATTTTTATTTTTATTTTTACATTAATTTAAATCAATTTAACTCGTAAATTGAGCTTTGTTTAACATCATTTTTATTCTTGTATGTTTTTTATATTGGTATTTTAAGAACAAAAAAATAAAAAATATTTTTTTATATATTTTCTTTGTACCTCTTGTTTTATAAATACATATTCAAATACATATTCATATCTCCTATTTTGAAAATATATAAATTCACTTTAAAACTATTTTAAAAATAAATTTATTTTTATATTTTTACCTATTCAACTATACAGCAAAAATTTCATCACAGCTATGTAAATTATGACAGTCATCTAAATTATTAAAGGCATAATACTTTTCATAATGGAGTTTCAGGGAAATTTGATTTTTTTATTTTAAATTTTTTTTTTTCTGAATTGTTTTATCATAATAAATTTTAAAAATAAAAAATATATTACTTTCAAATAAAAAATACTTAAAAAAAAATCTCTACGAAAAATATCTCAAACCTTGAACTCTATTCCACATCTCCACTCTATTTTTCTTGGATTAAAACTAGAGTGATTCGCTTAGCTTTTGCCAACAGAAAATGAGGGAGCATATTCAACAGATAAACTTCCATTACAGACAAAAAAGGTAATTTCAAGAAATAATTCAAGAGTTGTCTCTATGTCATTCTGCCTTCAGTGCCTTGCATGATGACAAGCTTGAAGCAGCATACAGGCAGGTCCTAACCTACGACTCCTAGGATGTAACCCGGAAAGCCTATCGGAAAAGACATTCAGAGTAGACACTAAACCAAAATATCGTAACGGAAGGCAGCCAATATGAATGATGACGATAACGTTGAAGCCAGAAGCCAGATACAACAAGCCACCATCATTTTCACTGCTTGAATAAATTAATCGGACTCCCATGTCTCGACTCCTAGAATCATCCTGTCCTCTATTGACATTTCACTCCCTCTCCCCCACTCACCCTGCTCCCATGGAAAACCCTATAAAAGCCACCTTTGCCGCCATTAACATCATAAGCATGGATTGCAAAGATATGGAGGAAAATGGGACGAAAACAAGGAGCCTTCGTTCTGAAGACTACTACAATAGAAGGGTGTTCTTGAGAAGCTATCCTCTTCATTTTGGAGCAGGAGATGAGAAAACCAATGAAGAGAAGGTCAGCGCCACAAACAAGGATACTGAGAAGAAACCCATCAGGAGGATGTTCTTAGCAGTGATTCACTGGGGTGAAGGAAAGGTTCTATTATTGAGGAAATTTAAGCATAAGCTCCAGGTGACGAAAACAAGGAGAAGCCTTCGTTTTGAAGACCACAGCAATAGAAGGGTGTTCTCGAGAAGCTATCCTCTTCCTTTTGGAGCAGAAGATGAGAAGACTAATGAAGAGAAGGTCTGCAACGCACACAAGGATAGTGAGAGGAAGCCCATCAGGAGGATGTTCTTAGCAGTAATTCACCGGGGCGAAGGAAAGGTTCTACTATTGAGGAAATTTATGCATAAGCTCCAGGTTTATATCATAGCTTGTATGCCCATCAGCTTCAAGCCCCCTACAGCACGAATTTCTATTTAAATCCAGCATTTTCTGTTTTGTCTTCTTCAAAACTGTACTGTTCGCATAAAATATATAACATGCATGCAACAAGTTACATATATGAATACAGAATTTCTAATTTCTCAAAAAAGGCAGAAAACAGGGTTCCTCTATTCATTACTAGCAGACTCTCTGTCAATCGTTGATGTCTAAATGAAAAAAAAAAAACTGGAAAAGAAAGAAAATCCATGCACCAACATGGTTCAGTGAGAGAAAATCTCAGAATACGTTTGGCTAACATACATGAGCTATCATATACCTAACAGCATCAGAAGATAAAATTTTCAGGTGAAGTCACTTTCTCCAATCCCCTCCTCCTGCTTAGGCAAGGCATAATGTCGACAAAACAAAAGAAAGAGCCCGAGGTGATATGCTATACACTGATGCTTTTCTATAGCTAATTCCAGCAGAGAATCCTTTGGAATCTGGTGATCAATCAGGTAATGAAAGAGAATGCACCATCTATAAACATGTTTGCCAAAAAATGCCATGAAAACAAGTTCATAAAATGATGCCAAACAGTGTTATCAATTCAATTTTATGACACCATTTCATCACATGGGTGACATATTTACCCACAGGAAAGAATGATGGAGCTTACTTCCACATACAGAGACAACAAATTTCTATCTCAGAAAAAAATTATCGACACGCCCATTGTGAAGCATCCTACGGCAACCCAGGGGCTCAAGCGTTCACCTATTTCAGCAATCACATGAGAAAGCACCAGAATGTCAGATAGTTATCACATTTTAAATTACCAAAGATCTATAATGATATGTTTTCCATTCTAATTTTCTTCTTCATGGTTTATGCGTGTTAGTTTGACAGCAACACCAACTAAAAGTGGAATTATCTTGTCATATTCCTTCATTCTTTTTTAAATGTACAACTCCACAGTAACTAACTTCAAAGTTAAAACCTTTAAATTTGATTTAATTTTAATCCCACACCAAATGCTTTTAACGTGATATATTTTAACAACCATATTTAAAAACCTGCTTCAATTGACACAAACTTCTAAGAGATCCAATTATCAGGAATCCCCTTTTACTCTTTTTTGGTCCAAGACTCCTTGGTCACCCCACACGATCTTACAAGTGTCTGTCTCTCTTTCTCTCCTCATTACCAGTCCTAACCCTACTCACACCCAACTGTTACCAGGTAAACCAATACCTGGATACTGTCACCCTCTGCAAAATTAATTTTCCCCTTTTTATTTATTGCAAAAATAAAAATCTTTCGATTATTTTCATTTTTCTTGAACTTAATTAATTAAAAAAATACTGATAGGGCACTTTGTTTTCACATAAGTCCAATATGCACATGATGCAAGTTACAGTTCATCTTCGGTAGAATAAAGTAATAACAACGGTAATTTCTTTATGGCCTCAGTTATATGTATGTGTGAGTAGTGTTGATGGCAAAGAATATTGGTAAGAAAGCTTACCAATTCTGGCTGCTTTCCAAAAGAAACCACGAAATCTGTCAAAAGGCATATGACAACACTTAGTTCCATAATCATCAATACATATCAGTCACACACCAACAATAGTCCTGTTTATATTAATATCTCTTGTTAATAGTAACTCACAAGTCATGCCAAAGGAAATAGCACAAATGATGACCTGGAAGGATTATAGATAACTGGTTTCACAAAGTTATACATTTAGCTAAACAATGAGATGAAGATACTTTTTTCCAAGGGGTGCTAATATGCCTAAATTCTGGTGTTTGGGGGGGGGGTGACAAGGTTTGAATTTTTCAAAGCCAAGCATGGATGACTATGACTTAACTTTAAACAAGAGTAATCATTCATTCCCATGACACATGCCTGATTATGCGGTTCCAAATGCTTTGATCACTATGTTGTTGATACTGACAGAAAACTGGAAACTGTGGTCATTGGTAGACTTTTAATCGGGGTGAAAGGGTGTTACATATATCAAGTGTTCCCATTTTCATACAACGCTATACATGAATGAACTTGAACAGCACAGATTAATGCACAATGTTTTAAAAAGGAAATGTCTTTTCCTACTTCACCTCTTGTTTTGATTCACAGCAAGGATGTGAGAGCCGCCTCTGACCATTCACAACATGTGAACAAACCCATTTATTTTGTCATGTTCTATGGACAGGTGGAAGGAAGCAACTAATGGGGCTTCCATTCACTGAAACTTACCCTACCGAAGAGAAAATTTAAAGTGTTCACACAAGAGCTGATAATCAGCAGGTTGAACAATGCTACTAAACATGTTTCACTGAGGAACATAGCACAACTTAAAAAATAACACTGGGAAAGCCTTACATTTTCAAAGTGATGCCACAGATATAAATTCTTTGTGGATCTTAGAACCTAGAAGTCCCTTAGGCAGTGACCTCATAGAAATGGTATCTCCAAGGTTCAACAGTGATGTTGTGCATGCAAACATGAAAAGCCATAGTGTTTGGCATTTCAGAAGGTGTAGTTTTAGGTGATTTAAAAGTCCTCTTCAGACCTTGTTATTTTTGTTGGAGTGCCAGCATAATTACTGTGAGCTTAGATGACCATGTAAAACCTAATAGCAGCACAAGAGTATACAGCAGCAAGATGAGGATGGTTAGATTGTAAAGCCAGTAACATCATTGAGTTTGGAAGATCTAGCGGGCTTTCAGTTCAGTTTTAAAAAGCTATCAATGGTTTGGGTATTGTTAAAACTACAGAAAAGATTGGTGCAACTAAATTTCTCCAAATCCTATTGTGTGCTAAATGAAAAGGTTTAGCACAAAAGAGCATCCAAAGCTTAGAGAATCTCACCTATGTGTGCATCTATTTTATACGGCATAAAATGAGTGGTGGAAACCTAGGTATTATTTCAAAAACATTGAAATCAAACAATTTTATGCCATTGATGAGGACAATTCATAGAATTCAGGATGTTAATGCCACCCACTTGAGACTAATTAGCAAAAATAGAAATGCACATTACCAAAAAAGAAAAAAACGCACATGCATAAACCTGGATTTCTAAAAAATGGTGAAAAAGAAAGGGAAAAGCTAAGTTTTCTTAACTATAAACATAGCAAACCAACGTTGTGGTACAGTGCAACTATTTTTTTACTGTTATAAGCAATCAGCAATGCTCTCTTTAAAGTCCAATCATCTGCTACACATATGGATCCACAAAAAAAAATTAAGGGAAGAAATGGACATACCCATTTCTCTGTTCAAGGATTGCTGGAAAGTGCATCTTCACAAAAGTGCATGTACAAATCCCCAGCAGCACAACTGTCAGAAACGAATGGAAATTGAACAGTGCCGACTGAAAAAGCAAATGAAAAAAAACCCACGTCAAGAAAACAAACAATCACAGATTAATAAGAACAGAATTTGATTTAATTTTTACCATTTCTTGCTTCTTCTGATGAAGATGGCTTCTCTTCCTTCGAATCTGAAAGTCACAATGCGCCTGCCTAGCAAACTAAATCAATGAACGAAGAGCATAAGGAAATCGAATCAATCCTTCGACAGATTAGGTTTTCGTCAGAAAGAGAAAGTAGAGTTAAAATTACCTTGCAAGTTTTCCAGATTTTGGGTCTTCAGGATTCGCAAATGAAAAATCGCCAAGAACCGCTTTTCTTGCTTTGATTCGAGCCAAGATTGTTGGCTCTGCACTCCGCACAGCAGCAGAAAAATATTAGTAAATAAACCATGCTAAGAAACGGAAAATGAGATTTTCATCCGTAAAGTTACATGCTTATTCTATTCTAGTCCCTATACTTTATTCTTAAATTTTGATTTTTTTGTTTTTAAGAAAAAAAAAGGATGGTAGTAATATTTGAACCAGTGTTCCAGCTGGTAATTGATATCTGGTCATTCTCGAGAAATTGGTGCTTTTGTTTTATTAATTTAAATGTGTGGATATATATATATATGTGAATTTTTTTATAATTGTGATTAATATTATTGGGCTCGAAAGGTGGATTGATGGGCTCATGTATTGTGGAAGAGTAAGTTTATAGACTTGATTTTGTGAAGATTAAGTAGGTTAATCATTAATGAACTGTTTTACTTCGATTTTAATTCTTTTTTTTTTTACATTATCATATATCAATTATTTTTATCTTGATTTTTATGACAATTTACTTTTCTCTTTTTTTAAAAATTTTTATCTTGATTTTTTATATTTAAATTAAAAAATAAATTAAAAAGATAAAATCCAGATAATAAATATATGATATTACAGGAAGAAAGGTTTACATTTTTAAAATATTTATGTTTATTTGAATTTATTTAAGAGAGTGTTTGTTTTTGTGTTTAAAAATAGTTTTTGAATTAAATTATTTTTAAAAAATTTTATATAGTTTGATGTACTAATATTGAAAATAAAATTTAAAATATATAAAAATTATTATTTTAATAAATTTTAAAACAAAAGGTACTTTCAAACACAATTCTTATTGCACCCATCAATCCATTTAAATTATTTAACTAATTTTGACAAAGTTTTTGAAAACTAATATTAGTTTCCTATTAAACCACTTCCCTTGTTAAATAAAGGTTGACAAATGTTATAAAATCTTAATAATAAATGATAAATACAATAAAAATAATAGCGTAAAAATCTCAGATACGCGTCAGATTTGATACTCTTTATAGTATTATAGGACAGCACAGCCTCTGGTACTGAAGGCTTGCATGGATTGATTTTTGCTCAGTGCTTATTACATAACCCAACGCTGACACCAAACGAATCAACTATCACTACTAAATTCTCTTCATCTCAACCAAGCATGGAACCCAGAGAAGAAGAAAAGCTGTGACAAGCAGAGAGAGATCTCCCATGGAAACTGGAAATAGAATTTGAGTTACAAACGAAGCTACTTCCGTACTCCCGCAAAAGAAAAGAAATTGTATTCTCATTCCAGCTACACCATGAAAACTTGCTGGACCTGTCCAAAAATTTTAGGCTAGGTTTCGGAGCCAGTGAGTCTGATCCGAAGCAATCTTTGAGCCACCTGACCTTTTAAAAATTCAACCATGGCCAAAAATGGAGTGCCTGTTGAGAAATCAACTTTTTCCCCAGAAGAATGTGGCAGCTAGTTGGTGGGAAAGCCAGCATTCCTCCTATGTTCCAATCCTTTCAAGATTTTCGGATACAGTTTTCATCCTTGGACGGACCTCAGGATCAGCTTCAGCGCAAGCAAGGGCAACATGAAAAACAGCTATTACCTCTTTTTTGGCATGCACTTCTTGGAGCAACAATGGATCTACCATGTCTGATAAAGGGTTTTCATCTTCAAAACCCTTCCTCACCCATGTCACCAAGTCTGGAACTTCTATCGAAGTGGATGCAGACGGTGAAAGCTCTGGAGATTTTCCAGTAAGCAATTCAAGCAAAACAACTCCAAATGAATACACATCCCATTTTTGGTTTGGTCTGTTACCAGAAACAAGGGCCTCTGGAGGACGGTAGTTGTTTGGTCGCTCTGTTTGAACTGACTTTAAGTAAGGGAGTGCTCCACCTATAAAGCCACCTGAAGAGGAGGGATTATTGCCGGTGATGTTGATCAGTCGGTTCAGGCCAAAATCAGAAATGTAAGGTTGGAATTTGTTGTCGAGGAGAATATTAGATGGCTTGACGTCTCCATGGACAAATTTTCTTGGGCTGCATTCGTGAAGGTAGGCTAAGCCCCTGGCTGTTCCCTTGGCGATTCTCAGCCTGGTTGACCATGAAAGACTTGATGGCTGTCCATTTCTCCCTGTAAACAAATGCTGTTTAGTAGTGGCTATACCTTCATGGTTAAATGGTAAGGATTCAGAAAATGATCGATACTAAGAAACAGAAAAAAATTTACAGTAAAGGGATCTATCAATTTTTTGGAGAAAGGCGAAAAAAAAAAGATTATAAAGCTCACTCTTTTTGGTTAAAACTTTAACATCCAGATGAAAGTGAACAAGAACTGAGGGAAAAAGTTGAAACATGCGCCTACGAACGAAGCTTGGGGAATCAAGATCGATTTCCCTAAACAAACACGCTTATGTTTCGAACAGAAAAGATACTACAGGGCACAGGGGGGTCAAAAGCAAGGACATCCTGTAGTTTTACCTGCAGCTAGCATTTATTGACTCATCTCAATGAATGCTCACCTAAGAGAAGAATTCGTGGGGACAAACTGTACTAATGCATCTCATTTTGATTGGAGATCCAGGAATTACAGGACCTTCCATCATCATCACAATTCACCATGCACCGGTCAAGGTAATGGGTGGCCAATTATGAGGGACCTACCAATTCATTGCATCTTGTTCGGAAGCTGCAGTGTCAACCTAACCTATGCTCTCGCGAGTAATATAAAACCATTATTGAAGCATTACCCAATAATTTAAGTTTTTGAATTAAAATAATTATCTGATGGTATGAATTACCAAGCAGCAAGTAATTCGAGTTTGACTTTGGACATTCACGATAAATAAAAATACTTTGTATGAAGACAATCATATCCTACTAATACAAGTACTAAATATAGTAGTATGCAGTCCAATCATTTCCTTTAGGCTTCTCTCTTTATCCCCCAAGCTCAATGCACGAAGTCAATTATGGAGTAGTTTTTTAAATTCAGATCCAAGATCTATGATTTCCCCTATTCCATTGACTGCTGAAACACGTACCTGATTAGAGAACGAAAAAAAACCTGCAACCCCTCTTTTTTAACCTAAATAAATTCTTCTTCCAATTATAAATCCAGCAAGTCGAGGCCTGGCTTGGTATAGCAATGAAACGAAATTCCCCCTTTTATTTGTGAAAGCAAAGGAAAGACCAGGCATTGCATTAACAAGGGAAAGGGACTGGTGAGTGAGAGGTACTGACTACATAAAGCATGGTCCAGAAAAAGCACCACAATTGGGACCTGGCTATAGTTGATTGAGTGAGTGGCATGCATCATAACAGGTAGGTCACATGACCCCATAATGTCCAGAGTCATAATGACCATTCCCACGTCCACTAACCAAGCCCGTTTATGACATCTAATTGAAATTCCCACAAGAGAAAGGGACAGTATTGGCTAGGACAACAGTTAGCCTTAAGGTTAGCCCTCAAGCACATCGTGTTCAAAGACAAACGTATCGAGTTAGTGTTCGAACCGGATTCGCAACCATGGGTCAAACTTAGACAGGATGATTCAACTTGAACCGAACGTTACAACATTCGGTTTGAACAAAAAACCTTCGGTGTTAATACAAGGTCAATGGCTTTTCATGGAGGGTAAAAGATTCAGCAAAAGAACATAGGAACAAAGAGAAAGGGAAGCATACCTCGAAGAGCATTAGCCAAGTTGCCATTGGAGATGAAATCACTGATTAAAAGCTTCTCATCTGGAGCCCAATAATAAGCTCTCAACTTGACAACATTTGGATGCTTGACCTTTCCAATAGCCTGCGCCTCCGCTACAAACTCTTTATACCTCTGCTCTCCTCCTTCGCCAAGCCTCCTCACTGCCACAGGGCTGCCATTGTCAAGCACTACTTTATACACTATCCCCAAACCACTCTTCCCCAACACATAAGCAGATGCTTTTAGCAATTCATCAAGCTCAAAGGTGAAACCTTTATCGATTGCCACAAGCTCTCCTTCTGGTTTCCCTCTTTCTACCTTTTCCTGATCTTCCAAATCAGACTCCTCAATTCGAAGCCCATTAACACAATAACATAGCGAACACAAGTGTGATTTCTCATTGCCACCAAATTTGCTTTTTCCAGTGCAGCTACAACCATTAGAATCATCCTTCTTTTTCCAGTAAATGTATACTATTACTAGACCAAGAAGCGCTACACCAGCCGCGTTAGCTGCTGAGATTAATATTATCAAACCGGGACTTAATCCCTTTTTAGGATTATTATCAGAAACCGGAGTTGAATTCTGATTTCCCGGTGAGCTCTTTGCAGAGTCGTTGCAAGATTTATGAAGCGGAAACCCGCAAAGCAAAGGGTTGTTAAGGAAAGCAGTCGGTCCTTGGTTTGCAAAAGACCCTGTTTGAGGTATCTCACCGCTGAAATTGTTGCTTCGCAGATCAAAACTGACAGTAATAGGTAAATTTCCCAGTGATTTCGGAATCCTACCCGATAAATGATTGAAAGAAAGATTTAAAGTGTTGGACAAAGACTTAAGCTCACCAACATCATTAGGAATGGATCCATTGAAAGCATTATCAGAGAGATCAAGCTGCAATAAATTATCCAATTCAGGCCAAATTCCAGCTGGAATTGGACCAGAGAATTTATTCTTCGCAAGGATCAATCTCTGCAACTGCTTGCAGCTATTCAAGCTTTGAGGCAAAGAACCAGACAACGAGTTGTTGGAAAGATCGAGATTCTGGAGACGAGGGAGGTTACAGATTGAAGGAGGGAGAGAACCAGAGAGATTGTTACCGTAGAGAAAGAGACCGTGAAGTGCAGTAGCGTTAAACAACTGGTCAGGTATTGGACCGTAGAAGTTGTTGTTGTGAAGATTAAGTCTCCGAAGATAAATTAAGTTCCCAAGCTCTGATGGAATATAGCCGTGGAGATTCTTGCCGGAGATTGCAATGCCTACAACATGAGGGTCTGGCAATCCAGTTATGTTCATGCAGGTAATTCCGGTCCAGAGACATGGAGTGGGGTCATCTTCGTTCCAGTCAGAGAAAGCAGAGCCAGCTGCTGTTTGATCAACGGCTGATTTTAAGGACAGGAGGGAGAGTCCATCAGGTGTGAGGGAGTGGCTTAGTTCGGTGTTAGTAAGGAAGTGGAAGAAGAGAAAGGCTAGCGTTAATAAGAGGTTTTTCTTCATTGTGCTTGTTCTTGTTATGGAGAGTAGAAATGAGAGGGGGGGGGGATTTACAGGAGCAGAGAAAAGAGGAAGGAAGGAAAGAAAAGTGGTGGTGGAAGGTGTGGGGTGGTTGGGTGTGAGAGATTTATGAGGGGAAAGAGACTTGAGAAAGACGAGATTTTGATCAGAATGGGCTCCACCTCCCGCCAACAGAGAGAGAGAGAGAGAGAGAGCAGAAAAGGGAGTTTCTATAAGGGAGAAAGGGAGGGGAGTAGAAGCAAAGCAATTGCAAGTGATTCGGAGAGTTTGGCCTTATGCATGATGTTGACGTTTGTTTTTACGCTGAAATGTCTTTCCTTTTGTCTATATAACCTCGGCAACGTTAGAAACTTCCCTTTCTTCTTGGATAATCTATAACTGGAATAGTTGTCTTCCCGCTTTTCTATGGCTTGCTTCCATTTAGTGTGTTTGTTTTTCAATTAAAAAGTGTTTTTGAATATTTTTATTTTAAAAAAATTATTTTTCTATAATTGTAAAATTTTTTATATATTAATAATAAAAAATAAATTTTTAAAAATAAATAAATATCATTTTAATATTTTAAAAAACAAAAAACATTTCTAAAAATTACCTTATTATAATACTAAACAATAACCTAACTGATTATAGAGTTGCTCCGATCATGGCTTGTGCTCGAGAGACTTGGCCTCCGTTATAATACTTGAAGGTGATTATTAAGAGACTATGGATGTGATTAATTCTTGATGACCAGCTGCTGTTTTTGATTGCTTGATCGCCAATTAGTTTGATAATTAATTGTTTTAACCTCTTAATGGAGCAAAAAAAATATTGAGGGAGGATTTAGGTTTCCAATATTTAAATTTATTAGCAACATGTAAAAGATTTATAGAATTTTACTTTTATCATCTCATAACAAAAAAAAAAATGGAGACTGGATACCTGTTCCATTTCAAATATACAAAAATTGACTTTAAAATTATCTTACATTTATTTCGTAAATACATTTTTAATTAAAAAAAGTTTATTATTATTATTATTATTATTTTGAGAAAATAACCAAATGCAAGCTTATAAAATCATTAGCTATAAATATGAGAGAACAGAACCTGATGACTCCTCTCTCTGCACTCTGAAGTCGCTTGAAGTACTGGTCTCATTATTCCTGTAATGAGCCGAAGCAAGTACTGTTGATGAGGTTTGCAAGAATTTTGGAGTCTTCTTTCCCCGAGGAAAATGGCATTGCATCAGGTTTCCGTGTCTGCGTGTATATTTCCTGACAAAGACCTTCTCTGCTCTCCCATCCTTGTCAAGAAGAGAAGAGATAAGACTCGACAAGTGACTAAATCTACAAGGAACAGGAAATTTCATAAAGTTACAGGTACTTCACGCAGATGAATGTGAATTGATCGTATCCATCCGTCGCCTGGGGATCTCATCAAGTCATATTCCTAATAGATGGACAAGATCAGTTCATGAGCTTGCAGGCGATTATCCAGATACATTCTTGCAAGATAAGTCAATATTCAGACCTTGAGAGGTAATGTGTGTCATTAAGTTATTAAGATTGATCTTAACGAACACAATTACTATAGCCAGATGTACATTTGATTTGACTGGTGGATGGTTGGTCTCGCCTCTCATCAAATAGATGCATATAGTAAGGGACACTAATCAAAGTATAATCCCTAATCCGTCCAATAATCAACCAAAACTTCCCCCCTCTGCATTCCTTCCCAGATCAATCTCTTTCATGTAACCAACGCCACTTTCGAGCATTAACATGTAGTAGCACAATAATAATAATAATTACTTGCCTGACACTTCTGTTTCATGTTTTCATGTACTCGTCCGATTAATTAACTTGTAGTGGAGGCTGAGTGGTTTTAATTATTAATAATATTTCGCAGTTCTTTTGTGGGAAAGTGCAGAGTGATTACACCTCACCCCCAATCATGAAAACATGCTTAGAAGCTAACAAAGAGAGAGACAGATGCTCTTTCCAGCTCCCATTGTTGTTTGCTTATCAATGTTTCCTTCTGGCTTGTTTCAAAGAATCAGAGAGATTGAGCTTCATTTTGAATACAATTGCAATATAATTTGTTGCATGTCAAGTGAAGGCCAGGTACTATTGTCAGAACTCCTAAAAAAATTAAAAATTTAAGTGGGCTGTTGACTTTTACCAACTGGTCCCTTTATACACACGACATGTAGAGGAGAGACAAGTAATTAACAGTAAGAAATCACTTGCCTTATGAATCGGGAAGGAGAAACGCTTTGTTCCAGCCTAGGAACGCAATTTCCGACCTGAAGCAACAGAGAGGGAGAGAGCATGGAATCTTCGCGTTGTATTGAAGGAAAGCAATTGATGAGGCACGACGTCAATTCTTGCCCTTATGAGTATTTGGTTTTTATTCAATGTGAACATGAAAAACATCAGTGCCATTTATACCCCAAAATAGGTTCGCTTCAGCAGTCGTCACACATACCAAAGTAAGAACATAGAAGAACAGCCCTCGTAAGACCCCCAATGCATATGGCTTAACCTCCTATCTCCACGTTTCGAGCCCCTGCATTCCACGCAGGAATCACACAGGCTGTTGCTTGTAACTGTATAAAAGGCACATCTACAATCCCATTCCTCAAGTACCAAATCCAATATATTTCATCTTCAAGGTTTTAAGCACAAGAGAATTTAGAAATTCTAATGCCTCCATAAGGAGAGTTTAACTAGTAATTTGAAATGTCATCAGCAAAAAACAATGCTGAAGAAACAGGGCTACATTTTGGAAAGACAAGCAGCAAGGCCGTCCTTTATGCTTCAACCATTCGGTCCGGTTCTGAAGCTTCAGTTGACACAACTGGATAATAATTGTAGTGGAGCTCTGAGACATCATCACCAGATAATTTCTTCCATCCATCAGGTCCCACATAATAAACTGTTTACAAAGCACAAATTGAAACCACAAATTAGCTCATGAAAGCATGCATGTACACAGACATGCACTAGCAAACAAACGTAGGGGGGAATGGGAAGGGGGTGGGGAGAGTACCGCTTGCTACTCCACCACTGGCTCCATCACGGAAAGTTGCATGATAAATAGCTCTTCTGCCCAACTCTGCAGCTTCCTCGATTGACATATCAAATCGATACCTGGCATAAGTGTAAAAATATGTTTAACATAAACTGTGCACTATATTTTTGTAGCAAAGCAATGCAAGTGAAATGGCATAAAATTTCAGAAAAATGTGTCTGGCCATAGACCATCCACCTCCCAATCATTGTTTTTCAAGATTGAACTGTCCACACAAACAAGCATCTTTACAAATTTTTCTTTCTTATAGAAGATACATGAATTCTGCAGATGTATTCAACATCATCTAAGCATTTGTTTCAAGTGTTTGTGTCATATTTTCCTGTGCTTCTTTGCTCTTTCATTCTTCTTCATTGTCATATTTTCCAAAGTGTTTCCAATGAGATGTTTCAAACAAAGACAGACTCAAGCAATGGGCTAGTTTCTTATCTAATTCCTAAATTTAAGGAAAGAATTATTAAAAAGAAAGTGCACTCACCCACTATCCAGTACACCATATGCATATGGAGAACCAGATCCAACAGAGAATCTTGTTCCTTTCAGCCTTCCACCTTCACTGTCCACGTAATATAGTCCAGGACCCTGCAACATAGAAAAGATAAGCACAGGTTATGCAATTTATTAAAGGATACATGGAAGGGTAACATTCACAAGTCTTTACCGTTTCATCCCAACCAGCAATCATGGTCCCAACAGACAAGCCCATTCCACGGTAAGAGTACAGAATGTTTGCCAGAAGCTTTGATGCCCCTGTGACTGATATTCTCCGCTTGTTTGCCAATTCATGCAGTCGGCACTAAATTATACCAAAAATACTTCCATTAGCACTGAGCATTATGCACACAATTACAAATGAACATCAAAGAATTTACATGGTTAATCCCAGAATCAATGTCAGGCAGAAAATAATACCCAGGAACATAGACCCAAACTAATTTTCCACTACTTGATGAGGAGAATGCAATTGTACTTCATTAGACTTAACCATTCAATGAGTATTCTGAAAGGATATGCCTATGCCTGGCCTGACAAATCATTGCCCTAAGGTCTTGCAATAGATAATTTACTTGAACATGTAAGACTCACTTCAGTGAAAAACATAAATCCTTGTCATACAGCTTCACTTCATCTAGTACGACACATGAATGTATTAGAGAAATAAAGCAGGCCTTAGTTTCAGAATTTATAACATAAAATGGTTGCATTTGCATTAGACATTGAAAACATTGCATTGGGCATTGATAAAAAAATTTCAGCAATTGAATTGACAATATTATCAGATCAACAAATAAGAGTTTCCACTGACTTCCCTCTTTTCCTGACATATAGATTGCCTAGTTGTGGAGAACATCTAGCTGCAATGTTATTATTTCACACTTTATTTCATAAGATATTTTGAATTAGTTTTACAGTCTTGTCAGTCCATGGGTGACTAAGGAACAAGAATTTAATAACAAAAGGTAAGACCGTCGAATGTGCAAACAAGAGAAAATATGTTGGTGCAAATGCCACATAAATTAAACATCCCTGAAGCGGTAGAGACCAGACCCAGTGAAGCATGAACCACCACTACCTGACTTTGCCAAGCAATCTACCAAGCTGTACTCAATGCATCTAATAGGGAGAAAGGGAGAGATGGTTTGGCCATTAGGGCCTGATTATTCTCTGGTACCTAAGATTTAAAATAAAATACCACATATACTGTTTCCTACCTGGTCAGTGGACACTTAATTCCAAATTCTTTATAAAGGGGAACACTTTGCCTAAGAAATCTTCATGCCCGTAGGTTTTGCATTGCCCACAAGATTATCTAATATTAGTTAATAATTCTAGCATTGCAGGGAAAACAGTAAAGATACCAACATAAGCATATTACCTTAATGCCCAGATTTCTATGCCAAAACTGACAATCAGCAGCTCCTCCAGCCATTGTACCAAGCATGTAGGGATTGATTTCAATGATTTTTTTAACTGATTGTGATGCTGAAAAAATTTGAGGAAAGGTTAAAAAAGCAGAGCTGGATACACCATGGAAAGCAGCAATATTAATGCTCGAGACATCTATTAATAACAATGCAAGTGATGAAGATGGCTACACAGCATAACTTGATACAAACCATTACAAGGACCAGCACTAAGTGAAACGCATATCCATCCTACAACAACAATTGCAACATGTCCAGATTTTCTTATAACTCAAGCCAGTTGATCTGACTGAGCACTTTACACCAGCAGCATTTAATATGAAAAATAACATCCAATTTCATACACATCGACACACACATATATATAACAAAACAATAAGCCACAAATTTACCCAAAAATGAATCAAATAAACATACAAACATAGCCTCTCACACATATACCACGTAACAATACAATAAACCAAAAACTTTATCCAACAACAACAAAAAAAAAAAAAAAAAAAAAAAAAAAAAAAAAAAAAAAAAAAAAAAAAGATAAAATAAACATACAAATATAGCCTCCCATGCTAGCACGAGAATCAGCCGCGACAATGACACCATCCTTAAAGATAAAGGCAAGCGTAGTTGTCCCCTTGGCCGGCTTCACCATCTGTACAGCTTCCTTCTGGAAGCCATCAAACTGAAACCAAAACGCAAAATCAAACTCGACCCATAAACAATTCTGACTTTCTCCCTCCCACACAAATCGCAAAGCATAACAACAAAACTAAAACTCACATCTGTAGTAGTGGGTAGCTCAAAAGCTGGAGCAGCAGAAAACCCATCAACAAGCTCACTGCCGGCCGTTCCAAAGACCGAAGCCGTGGACTCGAGACCGCTTGTATCAAACTTCATTATCTAAAAAACCAAAGACCACGACAATTCAATAATTTATTTAACAGCATTGAAAAGAATAAAACCTAGCCCTAATTTTGGTTTTGAAAAATCAATCCGTCAAAAGTAACCGCATAATTTATGAAACACGAGATAACAAACCTTAATCTCTTATATCTGATAGATTTTATGAAATCAAAACCATATAAAGCTACGAATTATCGAATTGAACGTTGCTAAAATGTGATTAGAAGTGCAAAGCCCTAAAAAATTGATGAAATATACCTTAGGAAGAGAGATTGCGAAAGAGAAGAATCTGTGCAGAGATCGAGTAAGATTACTGGCTACTGGATTTCAAGCTTAAGGATTGGATTGCTGGGTTTTATTAAAGCTATAATCTTTTCTTGTTCAACAGGCAAGGCAAGAGCAGGGGCTCCGCGCCTGGTTTTTATTTGGGCCTTTTGAGATGTAATAACATGGGCGTTTGGGCTGAGTCTGAAGTGACTTGGATTTTGATTTGAGTTTTAGCCCAATTCTTCATAAATAAAATAAAACAAGGCTTTCCATGGGTGATAAGCTGAGCAACGACTAACGAGACTATATATCCAAGTAATAATTAAAAAAAAAAACTATTTTATACACGGAAAGAGGGAACGTGGTTGACAGTTAAAGTAAAAATTATTTTTAATAGGTTTTTTATTTAAAAATATATTAAAATAATAATTTTTATTTTTTAAAATTTATTTTTTATACCAGAATATTAAATAATTTAAAAATTTAAATAAAAAATATAATATACTAACCAAATCATAAAAGCTTTCATCATTCTTATTTTTTATTTTAGAGTTACTTTGTGTATTAATTATTACCTAACAGTTTTCAAAAGCAAAGTTTTGAAACTTAGTCTGAATGATCGATCGAGCTTAAGGCTCGGATCACTAACTTTTTTAAAATTATTAGGTTTTGACCGGTCATGTAAATCAATTTTATTTTTTTATTTTTATTAATCTACTGCACTGAGTCGATTTTAAAACTATGCTTAAAAGGTCATATATGAATTTTAATAATTTTTTTAGATTATTTTCTATATTTAATTTTAGAACATTAAAATTATGAAAAATATTAAAAAAATATTTATTCAAATTAAAAAAAACTTTTTGAAAATACATAAAACAAAAATAGAATTTCTTCCGGACACCCCTACCAAAACTTTGAAGATCACCCCGCACGCATCAGGTGACTGTCCTTAATTGATATTGTGTTGGTACAATTATTTCATAACCCCACCACTTATGCCCCACTCGTGCATGCTATTGCTGGTGGTGTTTTGAGGGGAAAGAGAGTCCTCAACCCAGAAAAAAAAAATGTTCACTTTTACTTATTTTATGAGTGATTAATGAATAATAATTTTTAATTGTGAATCATAATTTAAATATTGTTTTTATATAAATAAATTGTGACAAAAACGAGTTAACTTAGAATAATATTTAATAAAATTACTCTGAGTAATTATTTTTTTAACAAACATGTTTAAAAGTTAATAAAAGTGAAGAATTGAAAACAAAAATTCGATGATCAACACAAAATTTTTAATTTATTTTTATTTAAATTAAAATTATTTTGGATTATTAAAAAAAAATCTCAAATCAACATATAATAATTATATTCTACAAAATCTTAATGAATTAACACGGGTTCTTACAAGTTCTATAATCAAGAGTTATGCACGCTTTTACAACTATAAAGTTCGTAAAAATTAACTTTTTTAATTTAAATTCTAGTATTTAAAAGTTTACTAAACACCAACTAATCTAGTCAAGCCAAGATGAATTACTAAAAAGTAAATCTTTTTTAATAATTATATATTTTAGAGATGGAATTAAAAAATAAAATTAAAAAGAATTTAGATTTAAATTGTTTTGTTATTTAAGATAAAATTATAAATATTATTAAAAGAAAGACTAGAAAGAAAAAATTTGTAGCGGCTGGGGCTCCTGCCAGCCTCCAGTTGCTGCTTCTAATGTGCTCCATTTACAATACTGGACCACAAGAGTGAAAGAAACAAATACTTGCCGCATTACAGTGCTTGGTTTAGCGGTAAAAGGAGTTTGTCTCTTTTCACTGCACCTGGCTTCGAGCCCTGGTATGCATGCCTGTTACCCCTGCGGTGCCTTACATGTCTACTGGATTTGCAGGGTATTCAGTCGGGCGTGGGGATTAGTCGTGGTGCGGGCAAGCTGGCCCGGACACCCCACGTAAATCAAAAAAAAAAAGTGAGTAAAAACAGCACTTGAAGGAGTTAGTCTAGTGAGAGGGATTTTTTTTTTTTTGCATCTGGATTTTAATTTTATTATGCATGTCCGGTAGCCTTGCAGTGTTTTATATGTTTATTGGGTTTACAGGCTGTTCAGTAGATCATAGAATTAATCATAATGCAATTAGGCGGACTGGAACATCCATTTAAATAAAAAAAAATTAATGAAAACTAATATGAAGCACCCCAAAGAATTAAATAAATTTATGAGCAAGATTTTCATCAGTTAAAGACAGGCAGAAATATGAGCAGAAGTCAAAGCCTGGTGCAAGCTCTTGCCAGGTACCATTAATCATTGATTGAAAATTCCTATGTGGTTTATAACTAATATATAATTTATATATGTACATTGTATTTGGAAAGATCACTACTAGAAAATTAGAAGAAAATAAAACAATGAAAACATCAATATAATATTTTTTTCTGTTTACCAATGAAAAATATGATGGAAAAATTTCATTTATAATTTCTAAATAAAACAGCGAGAAAATAAAATAGAAATTCACTAGCAATTTTGTAGATATTTCTGATGTATCAAATTGAAGACATAATAACATAATTCCCGATAGATTTTTTGTCAAAACTTTAAAAAGAGATAAAACCAAAACGTGCCCCCCTCCCCTTTTCTTCTTTTTCTTTTTTTTTTATTTGATTTCAATTCGAGCTCTAACCTAATTTCTTTAAGCTTTAGACATAACCCTCTAAAACTCGGCCATCCACCTCATCAACACCGACACAATCTCCCTGTCGAACTCATTTCTTATTAAGTTTCACACTATCAAGTAATAAAACTCATTTATTTTTGTAAAATAATTTAAATATATATATATATATATATATATTAATATCAATGGTTTTTAATTTAAATATTATGAATTTAACTTTTGCTATTACATCATGAAATAAATCGTACTTTATATAAAAAAAAATACTTTAACAAAAAACTATCTACAATTCCATTACGGTCAAAATTTATCCGACAAGAACTATAAAATTAGATAAAATATTATCAAAAATAAAATTAATATTATAATACAAGTAAATTTAATTTATCTTAAACTAATTTTTTAAAAAAATCATTGCTCGCATTCACGTGAACAATACAAATAAAATTAATTAACTGTGTTAGTTTTTCAAAAAAAAACCTGTTAACTGAATAGTGGAAGCGAACAGTAAAGGCATGCCTCAACTGTTTCCAAAGAAGAAAACTGTTTAGTGAACAGTAGCATGGATTAGATTTTAGCCGTGTAGAAAGCAGCTCATAGCTGCTTTTTTTTTTCTAGCGTTTCAAACGCAATAGCATGTGAAACCCAGTAAATAACAACACGTATTTATTATTAACCAAAAAGCTTGTTGCATGAAATCACACGAAACGTGGACGCTGCCACGTTACCAAATGATTTCTAAACAAAAGTTGACCGAGGTAGTGCATTTTATCGCGTGGATTATGTCTTAAATCAGACATGGATATGTGTCATTACTTGTTTGACACGTTTTCATGAAGCGGCACAAGATTTTTTAAAATCAATGGATTAAATTATCAAAATAAAAGAAATTAACTAAGACATAAACTCTATCTCCGAGTTACTAGAGGATATAGGAAGAAGTGATTGCTTTTAAATGATGAATAAAAACACTATCAATTGATAACCCAAAACCCTTTCTTTTATCGCACTAGACAGTGTATTCTTACAAATCCCCCCTTGAAACATATGGAGCTACATGCATAAAACTAGACAATATAAAACACTAATCATGTTTGGGCGTGCATGGTTTGAAACATATGCAGAATCTGAGGCCGGAGAAGATTACAATGGAGAAAGCATTGGAGCTCCGAAAATGCAGAATTTATTAAAAGAAAAAAAAACAAAAACATTGTTAGAAATGTTGACAGAATTGCCAGCAAAATAAAAAACCTCACCGAACAAATATTCTGTTGATATCTTCTAATTTCCTAAGTGGATAAGGAGACTTAGAACTAGTAAACCATACAGATTAATAACGACGACAAAAAAGTATCGACTTTTTAAAAAATAATAAAGAAATTTAATTTAATAATTTAAACAAAATAAACACATTCTTAAGGATGCTTTTATTAGGTTTGGGGACGAGGAAAAGCGGGAGCAGACAAGTTTACATGTAAAAAGAACCCCTCGTTTCAACTTTCAGGTTAAAGCAGTCAACGCACCTCCTAACCCTATCAACGATGTCGGACGAGGAAGGAGGCATCTGCATGAGCACCATGCATCACTTAGAACGATACGACTCTTTTATCCTTGAATTCCCCTTTTCCTCTCTGATTACCTCCCTCATCATGACGAGTTGGTGGTGGTTCTTGATTGCCGACGAAAAAGGTTTTTCACATGTCCCTGTGCTCTCGACCCAGATTCTTTTATATTAATTAATTACTATATGTTTTTTTAAAAAATGACTTGTTATCCTAAATAATATCATCAAAATCAACATAAATCCCCAAACAAAAAAATTAAAAAAAAATCTTCAAAGTTTCAAGAAAAAAATAAATATCGGGAATTTATCCAAATTTATCTGGGGTTGGTAAGTTGGAATTTGCATCGCTTGATGATACACACAGATCTGTATTATTCTGCAGGAAGAAATTTATTAGATACATACTCTTGACATGATACTCCTTTTCTCGAAGAACAATATTGCACTAGAAAAAACCTATTTATTGCCATTAGCTTTTATGTTCAAAAATTGTATTCCTTCTCTGGTATAGACATGTAATTGGAGTGGGTTAACTTTGATTATGATATTTATTTACACTGTAAATCAAATGTGTGTGTGTGTAAAAATATATTTACATTATAAATATAAATATTAAATTAGCAAGTAAGGATATTTACTTTATCATCACAAAAATATGTTAAATAAAAAATAGTTAACAAAAACATAGAGTTTATATTGTTTAAAATTATAAATATAAAAAAATATAACTAATAAAAACATTGATTTTAATACAGAAATAATAATAAAATACTAAAATTCATATAAAGCATATTTTCACACTTGTAATTGATATAGAATAAGAAACTTTAGCATGCATAATTAATCATGTTTAAATTAAAATAAAAAGGATACATCA